GTTGGCATCATGTGTGTGCAGTGAGTTGGCATCATGTGTTGGCAGTGAGTTGACATCATGTGTGTGCAGTGAGTTGGCATGATGTGTGTTCAGTGAGTTGGCATCATGTGTGGGCAGTGAGTTGACATCGAATGTGGGAAGTGAGTTGACATCATGTGTGGGAAGTAAGTTGCGTGTGTGGGATGCGAGTTGTGTGTGTTGGCAGTGAGTTGACATCGAGTGTGGGCAGTGAGTTGACATTGAGTGTGGGAAGTGAGTTGACATCATGTGTGAGAAGTGAGTTGACAACGAGGGCGGGAAGTGAGTTTACATCGGGCATGGGAAGTCAGTTGAAAACGAGTGTGGGAAGTGAGTTGACACCATGTGTTTGCAGTGAGTTGGCATCATGTGTGCAGTGAGTTGGCATCATGTGTGGGCAGTGAGTTGACATCGAATGTGGGAAGTGAGTTGACATCATTTGTGGGAAGTAAGTTGCGTGTGTGGGAAGCGAGTTGTGTGTGTTGGCAGTGAGTTGACATCGAGTGTGGGCAGTGAGTTGACATCGAGTGTGGGAAGTGAGTTGACATCATGTGTGAGAAGTGAGTTGACAACGAGTGCGGAAAGTGAGTTTACATCGGGCATGGGAAGTCAGTTGAAAACGAGTGTGGGAAGTGAGTTGACATGGGGCGTGGGAAGTGAGTTGAGATGATTTGTGCAAAGTGAGTTGACGTCGAGTGTGGGAAGTGAGTTGACATCGGGTGTGGGAAGTGAGTTGACATGTGCGGGAAGTGAGTTGACATCTGGGGGCAGTGAGTTGACATCATGTGTGTGCAGTGAGTTGTCATCATGTGTGGGAAGTGAGCTGACATGTGTGGGAAGTGAGTTGACATGTGCGGGAAGTGAGTTGACATCTGGGGGCAGTGAGTTGACATCATGTGTGTGCAGTGAGTTGTCATCATGTGTGGGAAGTGAGCTGACATGTGCGGGAAGTGAGTTGACATTAAGTGTGGGAAATGAGCTGACATGTGCGGGAAGTGAGTTGCATCAAGTGCGGAGATTTAACATCACATGCTGACAGTTATTTGACATTGTTTGCTGGAAGTGATATGAAGTTACCTGTAGGAAGTGTTGTATGTGCCACCAGTGAAAGCCCTGATCACAAAATGAATAATTGCATTAGCTAGTTTAATTAGGGATTTGTATAATTTGCATAATAGTTAAATATTTCTAACTTAGACAAATATTGCTAAAAACACCGCAATTCTAGTCCTCACTGGAAAAATATTCCTTGGTCATTCAGAAATGATGGGTATCCTGCACCGATCCTGGGAAGTTCCAATATACCAAATCAGTTCGACCGTTGTTTTCTAAGCTAGACCAGCCATACAATCATGAAAATGTGTCTGGGGGGGGGGGTGGACGGTCAATGTTATTGACTAATAAACAATGAAACTAGCTAAAGTAGTTTTTTTTTTATAGTTTATGATGCCGCTAGCCAAGTACTACTACTATTTGAATGATAGTTAGATATTGTCTAACTGGACAATTATGGGCTGAGTGTGAACCAAGGAACAAACACTAGCTATAGATCCTGCTAGCAAATTAAGTAAGACAAGTATATAATGTGAAATATATTTTTAATTATCACCGTAACTACTTGTATAGCTTGACAGGCATGAGTTTGGATCAAAATTCTACAGAAATGCCTGCACACTGCATTGATAATCAAATGTGATTAGACAATACTGCTGCTTAACATACTTATCTTATAAACTCTAGCCATAAGGCGGCACTGTACCAAGGCAAAGGTTGCAACCCGTCTGGTCAGAACCCAAAGTGATCAACTACGTGTAAGTACAGCACACTGTCTGTGTGAGAACGAACCCAGTCTGTAGCTGATACTGTCAAGGAGGTCTTTTAGTTAGTAGGAAATGAAAGTGCTGTGTCATTTTCTGTACCCTGCTACCAGTATATGGGCCATGGTTGTCCCGTCACGGAAAGGACAGAGTGTTGCCTAGGACCCTTAAACTATGCATCTTTGTATGGTTTCTGTATTCACAAATACAAGAACCATGGTTTCCAGAACCCAATATCTGGACAGTGTAGCACAGGTGTTGGCAACGTAATATTTACCCCCGATCCTGGGCGTGTGGGGGTGATAGTGCCACAGCACACACACACATAGTTGTTACCAAATGATATCAGAAAGGAATTGAGCTGGCAACTCCTGCCTGATGCCAGGCCTCTAGAAAGTCTTTTTCTTGATATTTGATAATGCAGCTCACTGGGAATGTTATGAATAGACGCCAGCACTAACAAGTATCAAGATGTGGTGACCATTTCGGCAGCAGCATAGCATGATTGAGTTAGCCACTCGTCAGAGTTGTCTTCCCAAACTGATAGTCAACGTACTGTTGATGGCAGATTGTGATATTCCCCACCGTGGAAGGTGCTTTCTTATTCCTAGCTGTGTGGTAGAGAAAAGTGGAACTTGGAGAGCTAGGAAAGGTGTGTTACCGTATAGAAGACTCCAAGCTTGGTTGTACCCATAGTGCCTCTGGTATAACTGGGTTGTCTTCTCACAAAGAGACTGAAGAATGGTATTGGAGCCATTAGCCAATCTGAGCATGGGCATAGCCAGGAAGTGTGAAGATTGAACTGCTGTGGCATTGCAGACACATCTATTTTAGATTGTCAGCAACTTCTGGTCATAGGGGTCTCAAGTTTATTAAGCGAAGACAGGAGGGGTGTCCATCCTCGACTCAGTGGTCAGAATGATGCTATCAGTGTTATTGGTGTGTTGTTCGATAGAAAGAGGTTTTTGGGAGTCGATATTATCAAAGAAATTATAGGAAATACACATAAATCAAGATTGTCCTAACTAATGGACATCACATAGTGTCACATACCAATGATAGCTGGCCAAAGCCTGTGTCTGACAAGATTGAAACAACGGCAAGTGTGGGATGGAGTAAACCCAGACCAAAAGATGGCAAGAACATTGGGAGGACCAGATAGTTCCTCTTTGGGAAGTGACATTTCTGGGAAGCCTCTAAGTGTTGAAGGGTTCTGGTTTGTAGTGTCGTATGTGGCACCAGAGCGCTCACAGATAACAATGCCAATGCATGGAGGATGTCTGGGTGGTCAGATGATATGCACACTGCCTAATTCTTTCCTGCCATTCATCTGAGAGACGGAAGACTGCATTGTATGTGTCCATTTCTTAAAGCTAGCAGGGGATCCATGGTGACTAAGGGGAAACCATACCCACTTCCCATCCGTAACAAGAATACAGAACACAAACTGTCAAAAGGATGCCCATAAGGAAATTGTACCACTGGCATTACAGGATCTGTAACAATATACAGAAACCCATACCACAAAAGGGTAGCAAGCCAACAGGGACTCCTTAATAGATTGGTGGACTCC